AAAAAAAAAAAAAAAAAAAAAAAAAGAAGAAGAAGGAAAGAAAAGAAAAAGAGAGTGTGAGCAAGCATAGGAGAGAAGAGCACCAAAGAGCTCCAGCGTGTAATTGTAGAAGCAGCAAATGCTTTGGCACTTAATTCCACTTTAGTGTCAGTTCAGCGTGTTTTGTGTGTAATATTGCAGGGGCAGTCGCCAAATGCTCTGTGCAAACAATCCGGTGCTCCACTTTGGGGAACTGGTGGCACTCGGAGCCTCGGCGGCTCCTGTGGCCCTGCTGCCCCCGCTGGCACGTGGGATGGAGGTGGCCCATGGCGTGTGAGCAGCTCTGTGCCAGACACGCATGTCCCCTTCTGGAGACGGAGCCTGCCCCCGTGTCCCCTTCTGGAGACGGAGCCTGCCCCCGTGTCGCCTTCTGGAGATGGAGCCTGCCCCCGTGTCCCCTTCTGGAGATGCCCCACTGGAAGGATGGTGCTTTATGGCACCTGGATCACACAGTCTCTGTGTTTGCCCTCTGCAGCCCCACTTTCTTGCAGCTCTTTGCTCAGCTCCTAGCAATATGTAAAAATAGGCTCTGAATTACTCCCTTGGGAAGAACTGAGGTCTCAGGAGAGACATTTCTTTCCTTTCTCTGCCTGGAGGTGCATGTTGGTGTCCTTGTCGTGCGACCGTGGTTCTGTCCCGATCTTGGAGCCCTTTCTTGCTGCAAGCTGAGATCATTCCTGCAGTCCCGATGGACTGGGCAAGCTCAGGGTGCTCCTGCAGCCTTCATCCTCTTGGCTCACCTAGTGATTACGGGTGACATCTAGGTGCTGTTATCTGCTTGGCTTAAAGACAAAACGGGAGGCATTGCTTGGAAGCAGTGCCTATTTCTGGATGGGAGGGAGAGTAGATGTAAAACCTTCTGCTTATTTATTTTTGCGAGTCTTAGAAACTCAGCAGCAGCCTGCGATGGCTATGGACAGTCATGTTTGAGGTGTATGCATCAAGGAAGCTTGGAAGGAATGATGGCCGTGTTGCAGCTGTGAAGAATTGCTCTGAGCTGTGCTCAAAATGGGCCAAAAAACTATGGTGTAGGGGACAGACCTTATATTTGGCACAGGTACACCCTTCTCCAAGAGCAGTGTGAGGCAAGTTGTCCCATCAGTGGTCTTGCTTGCACCCAYTGGTGATGTCCAGCCTTCACTGGAAATGCAGGAGGTGATCTATTAAAGAGACTTTGGAGCACAACTGGACTCTTGTTTCCCAAATGCCACAGCAAGTGTGTCATCCTCCAGCTCTCCGTGCCCAGCGGGTGGGTGACTGTGTGCAATGCACAGCAGTGCAACCTGCCCTGTCCACCTTCGGAGARGACCAAAGTAGCCCTGGAGCCATCTGATAGGAGGACATGTTGTGGGGATGGTACTTGCAAAATGCTGCCTGTTCCTAATTCAGGCTGCCCGGGGGCAAGACTGCAGCTGTAGCTTTGCAGGTGGAGTTTATTTCTCTCTTTTACTTGTTCTGAGTCCTAGTGCAATTCAGCACCCTTGTGTTGCAAAGTCCTTGTCTCAGTCCCGTTCCATGGGACTGGTTGGGAGCTGGGACAGCAGGTAGTCCTCCCACACTGCCCACCCAGGCTGCTCCTGCTGCCTCCCATGCTTTCAGGTATTCCCGTTTATTTTACAGAATGGTTTCCAACTGTAAAAGTCTGTGTTTGGAAGGGYGCTTGCTGTGCGAGGTGCATCCTGACAGCTAAGTATGTACGAAATGTAGCTTGGCAGCGGCCCATGGCTGACGTCTGCAGGAGAGGGAGCGACCTYGTATCGGTGGCAAAGCTTTGTGCTAAAATCCCTTGGGAAAACATGAGCAGGGAGTAGAGGTATCTTCCTTATGTTAGGAAAGCCAAGTGCCTTCCTTGGCTTGGGGAGGGTCGTATCCCTTGTCTCGTCCGTCCTTCTCCCCCGTGGAGGGCAGAGGAGAGGATGGACCCAATGAGTCGTTTTGCTGTTGCTATTAAATAGGAATACGATCAGACCTTGAGCAAATGGCACCCGGTGGAAACGAGGAAACGTTTAGAAGTTATTGACGTAAACTGCACTTTCCCCTAACAGACCATCCGGGGTCCAGCTCTCCACGGTGTAGGTAACGAGTGCGAATGATTTATGTTCTGCTGGGCTTTCTAGCAGATGCTATAAAACCATGCTGCAAGTATCTGAAAATCATTTGTCTGTCTCTGACATGTCTTAGCACGTGCAGGAATGCTCTGTTTGGGGAAGAGCGAGGTCCTTATCCTGATTTATCTCGAAGTACTTGTAAATGTTGCTGTAATTTCATGTTATCAAGTCGTTTAGCTCTTCCTCTTCCAGAACCAAGTTATTTTATCTCATGCGCCTTGTTTACTTCAAATTAGCCCTGAGGTTGGCCTGGAGTTGCACCTTGTTATTCCTACACCTCCTGTCTCCGTCTTAGGCTCTGTCGGCGGATTTGAAGGTATAAGCAAACACTTTTTGTTATTAATAGAATAACTTCCCCCTCCTACACACACTTTTTCTTTTAATTCCAGTCTTCGTTTTCCATGAGAACCTGACATTGCAGTGCAAGCGGAAACCTCCCAAATGGCACAAAAATGCCTAAATTCTCCTAGCAACAAGGCCATGGCTCGGGTCCAGGCCCATTCTGCAAGCGTGGGGGAAATGACCGTTCCAATTACCTGCTACCCTGCAGTACAAATTTGGTCGGCTCATCAGCACCTGGGTTTGGGTGGATTTGAAACCCAGCCATGGTATTGTTTAAAAATTCTCCATTTATTGGTGAAAGGTCTGTAGTGGGCTGAGCCCTGAGAAACCTGGGGCGGTTTTTATGGCCTCGCATTGAAACCTGGAGGAACCCTGCAGTGTCAACTGATTTCCCCCTTCCCCACTCATGTGGCTTTGATCAAACCCAGGGCTCAGAGAACGACCCCCCCAGGAACCGAGACCCCTCGGCTCTGCCCGCTCCTGCCCTTCATTAAAGCGCTCGAGAGCCTCAAATTGCGGGCGCTGAAGCAAGGAGCTTTGTGCCTACGCAGCGATGGAGCCTGCCAGTCCTACGGCTTCGCCCCTGGGCGCTGGGAATGGCGTGTTTGGGGAGGAAAGAGGCGGCCTGGTGCCTTTTTCCAAGGATTTTACCAGGCGGTAGTGCTTTGTTTCGCTGTTGCAGAGTCAGTGCCGTGGCCTCCGGCCTCTAAATGAGGCTCTAAACAGCCTCTCTGATGGGGCAGTGTGTGAATGCCGCAGGCCTGGCCTYACTGGTTCGAGCTGGAGGCCCAGGCAGCGTCAGGCCGTGGTTTGGGAGGCTGGGGATGAGGCCTGTGGCACGTGTGGGTTGTGCCGGCATCGCGGTGCCCGGTGGTTCTCGTCCCACGGTCACCTCTGTAGCTGCTCTGCAGGTTTTGGGGGATCCACGAGGCTGCGGCGGCTCCCCCGGCCCTGCTCCGGCCCTGCCTATGCGTGGGCTCTCCAGCCCTACCCTGCTCCGCTGGGATTTTGCAGGGCTTTCTAGAAGGGCTTTTACACAAGAGCCGGGCTTGGCCAGGCCTGAGTTCAGTGGGGTTCTCCTGGCCTCACTAGCTCTGCCTAGAGCGGAGCTGACAGTAAATGTAAATGTAAATAGAGGCCTGCAGTGCCCTAAAACCCAGTGTTTTTCTTAGGTGGAGGTTGGACTAGACTGATGCTCTACTGGAAATCTTTCTTCTGGCCTGGCTAAGCAGTAGATTAAATGTGGCACAGTGCTCCATATCGTGCTCCATAAAGCACCCAGAGCTGCACCCGTGTCCAGGTGCCACAGACCCACATCTCTTCCTTGCCCTCTCCTGGTGCACGGGAGGCCCTGGGCCTGCAGTGCGGGACTGGTAACTTGGCGGTCAAATGCAGAATGCGTTTCCTGGCAGGAGGCTGCCGGTGAGGAGAGGTTGCCCAGTGCCTGGCCCAGCCTCAGCGGGCCCTTGAGTGATCCTGCAGCTTCCTCCTGTGCTGCTCAGTGAGGAGCCCGGGGGCTCCAACAGGTCCACATCCCCTCTTGTGCCTTCTCTGAGCTTGGGAGCTTTGACCCAAAGTTGTTTTGCTGCAATATCCACCCCATCAGCACCTGCAGGGCTGATGCAGGTGGCCCTGACGTGAGTGGAGATGGGTTCCCTGCTCCCTGTGTGAGGAGGAGCATTGTGTGGAGATGTGCTCTCCTATGCTGGGGCCTTTGGGTGCCTGATTTTAGGCCAACATTGAGAGATAGGGAAGGGGGAAGCATCGTTTCTCCTCTAACACCATCGAGTCTCCTTTAAACAATGAGCAGCTCCCCAAAAAGCAGAGGCTTGAGCCTATGCAGGATCTTTGGTGCTTACGTTGCCACCTGAAGCCACAGAGCTCCTGTTCCTAAAGCCCTGGCTGGGCTCAGTCCCAGGGACCCTCCAGGAGGCTCGAGATCCTTAGCACCCATGGGTGCTCCCAGGCCCCTGCCTGAGGGAGGATGTTGCCAGAGCACCCTGTTGACTTGGACTGAGGCTTGAAACGGTCTAAASAGGGGTTGGAGATAAGGCCTGCAAGGTGACTCCTCCTGGTCACCAGGCCCAAAGGTGTGTTTGAAAAATTATCAGAAATAGTGATAGAAGTGGAAAGGTTGTGTTTGGCTTACTGATGATTTTTCTTCCATTTCAAATATGATGCTTCCTTGGAACAAATTCACAGCACCCTCCTTCCTAGTGGAAAATGCAAGCCAAACATTTTGCTTTCCTTGCCRTTGATGGAGCTGGGCACCTAGTCTTGCTTAGCATTGAAAAATCTTTCTCTCCTTGGATAGGAGTGCATGGGGAAAGAAAAGGTTGAATGATGCTCTTGCACTTTTCTTATCATTTCTGTTTCAGCTGATGTTTCTATCTGCTTCTATTAAGATCTGAGAACCAACAGCCAGGTCCAGATGTGATGATTTTATTTATGCCAAGTTGAGTTTTTGCCATTGGGGTAACACTTCAATAATCTTTTCCCCTCCTTTTTCAGCCTGATGGCACCAGCAAGGAGTGTGTCTTCATTGAAAAAGTCCTCGAAAACAACTATACGGCACTGATGTCAGCAAAGTATTCAGGCTGGTATGTGGGATTCACCAAAAAAGGAAGGCCACGGAAAGGGCCCAAGACCCGGGAAAACCAGCAAGATGTGCATTTTATGAAGAGGTACCCAAAGGGTCAAGTGGAGATACAGAAACCTTTCAAGTACACAACAGTCACCAAGAGGACTAAGAGAATACGACCCACCAACCCCAGTTAAAAATAGACAAAAACAGTGTCACAATAATAAACCACAAAAAACTGCACCAGAGGAATATTTTTACATTAAAAATAAGGAAGAAGCTCTATTTTTGTACATTGTGTTTAAAAAAAAATAAAAATAAAAAAATTAATAAAAGACTAGATGACAAACGCTGGGGAAAAGCTGTTAGGGATTTATTGTGACTTGAAAAAAAAAACAAAACGAACTGCTCTATTTAAATTGACTTCTTGTTGTTGATGACACACAGGTGCTTATTTCTCTTTTTGGAAAGGACAACTTTTCAAGCATATCCCCAGAGGAAAAAGTAATTATTAAAAATAAAAAAAAAAAAAWAAAACCAAAGAAAACCAAAGTTCTTTCCCAAAGTTACTGAGACCCTGCCCTGAAACGTGCCAGTTTTTGCAGTAATCTATTTATTGTCTGCTGCAAGCTGGACCGAGACAAGATGGTGTGTGCCGCAGTGATTGAGTTTCCGTGGAGTTCTCAACGCATCGATCTTCTGTAACCTTTTTGACGACATAAGGTGTCACGGCTCTGTGATCCTGCATTATGCTCAGTTCTGGAGAATGCTGCTAAATACATTCAMGTGACTACAAAATGACCTAGTACACCAATGATAAGGGAATATTTTAAAACCAGCTATATTATATATATTATATATATATAAGCTATTTATTTCACCTCTCTGTATATTGCAGTTCCATGAACCAAGTATTACTGCCTCAACAATTAAAAAAATTATTTAAAACACATGTACATATTATTTTTTGCTGTTCACACTTCTTTCCCCCTTACTGAATAGTGTTTTTTATTGACCATTTCTCTTTTAGGTGAGGGCAGCAGCATGGATGTGTTTGGAGCAGCTTCCCACTGCGAAGTCTGTARTTCCTCCTTTTATGCGATGCCATCTTCTTTCTTCCCCCTAATTGCTCCCAAATGAAACAAACCCTTTTTATGTGAGGTGCTGGGCTGAAAGTGGGGAAACGCCGAAGTTTTCAAGAGCAGGAGTTAAATTTGACGCTTCTCAGTCTAACAAATATTTCCTAAAGCTTTGGCCAAGGCGAAGGTTAACTGGAAAATGAGAATATGACTCCCTTAACATGTACATATGCACGGCTTGTGTTTCCTTCACCAGAGTTTTTGAGAGGGGCTATTTGTTTCAGCAAAGTCAATGTGATTTAATACTGTATCTTTCAAAAYGTACTCTAGAGTGAGAGACCTCTCTGTGAAATTCATTCCCTCCTTGCTGTGAGTAGTTCTAGCTGCTCTGTGATTTGGTTTCCTCACCAGTACAGCCCATTTTCCTCATGAGTCCTCAGTGCTGGGCTGAACAAGGTAGACTTAGATGGAAAGGGGGAAAGAGAAAAGGTGCCCCATTAGAACTCAATTGAAATAAAAATTGCCCTCAAAATTTTGGTTGTGATGAGAATTGATCCCAAGAGCAGCTTTAAGAAGTTCTCCTAACTTTTTGTTCTTGCTGTTTGCATGTGTTCCTGTGCTCTCTGCTTCCAGCCAGCGCTAAAACTGCTCAGAGCCCCTATGAAAGCTTTTTCTTGTTAATCAGAAGAATGACTCTCCCAGGAACAAGCTTTCTCAAGATAACTTTGAGAGCTCCAGCCAAATCCTGCAGATCAAAGCTGTTTGGGAGATGGTCGAGATAAGCATGCAAGCTTGAGGATGCTTATCTGAACAGAATCGCCAAACCTTGCAAGCCTCCAGAAAAATGAACAATGCGAAGCGGGGTCATTCCACRTTGCTTGTAGGAAAACTCCAGAGCCGTACAGGTGACATCTTGCCCGTTGGCTAAGAACGGAGAGTCATGGAGAAGCCCATCTCACTGGGACTATGTGGGGAGCTGCTCTTGGGACCAGCACCCAGGGCCAGGACTTGAGATGAGGACCTCACTGCCTGATGATGCGGCGGCGGACTTGGCTGGTGGGGGCCGGAGAGGCGTGCCAGGTCTGCCTTCGCGTTGATTCATGTGGTAGAGATTTGGGGGAAGTTCAGAGGAGTGCTCGGGAACTGGGAGTGGTGGTAGATTTGCCTGTGTTAGTATCTCGAAGAGAAACCCGATTGATTTCAAGAGTAAGGAAGGATTTATGCATGTGAAATACAACCATGGCCCATGGCACTGGTGGTTTCATAGTCAGACTGATGGACTTGTTTGCAGTGAGGGGTGTAGGCGTTAAGGCGGCAGAAGGGCTGGGCAGAAGGGATCTCCCCAGGGGTGAGCGTGACCAGGGACAAACACTTCCCCATGCTGAAGAGCCCCTGGGCAAAGGTGCTTGGCATCCTTAGATGAGAATTAGAGGAGATGCAATCTACAGGAGAGGATGCGAACCCACGTTAGATGGTAGATATCTCGGGTTGTGAGGAGTTAGGGCGATGGGAATATCCAATGCTCACCTTAGTCGGGTGTCTTTGGAGTGACTGGTTGGCTGAGGACAGTGYGTGCTGAGCTTTGTGTATGAACAACTGCTCTTTATGCTTTATTGAACAAAAGAAAATCACCAGAAAAAATCAGAAGACTTCAGTCACCAGGTTCCCTGTTTACAGCACCTTCACCTCAGGACAGAAGGCCCGCTGGGAGGGATATATTGAAGAAATTAGAAGTTAATTAACTGGGCAAATTAATTGTATACCCAATAACCAACACAGTGTTTTGCTCCTGGTCTGCTGCCTGATGTGTACTTGCTATTTCTGCTCCTGGGCCATGGTCAGTGGTTGGATCAGAGGTTTGCAAGCAGTCTTCAAGCTCAGTTGAACCTTCTTTCTCTGTTGACCTCAGGATTATAGAGAAGATTTAGATAATATTCCTTGTGCAGACTATTGTATTCGATTTACTTTATAATTGAAAGTCGTTAATGAGGATTTAATTACTATTGTGGAAATAACCTCAATAGTGAGGAGTGTAACACTAAGTAATTGCTCGAAGCAACTGATGCCATTAATRTGCGTGGAGCTCTGGGTGGGCATGCTTTAAACAAGTATACTACTTAATTGAATTTAATAATAGCACATTGTAGCTACTATTTCAGAAATACTGCTAGATTTATAGCAAGCTTTTTAAGGCTGAGATCAGATAGCGGCGTGCTGTGATAATGCCATGGTTTTGTCACAAATCCGGACACTGGCATTTGAGGACTTTTTAATGTTATAAATAATTCTAGAAGTGAGGATGATGGGAAACTTGTCCCATCAGAATATGGGATAGAGAAATTCTTGCTTGGTACCTTGAGCATGTATCGGACTGGACTGCAGCAAGACCTTTCAGATGATGGGTGTCACACGCTCTGTGGCATCAAAAGCTTGTGGACAGGTTCTGCTTTTCTTCTTCTTGCTACTGACCTGTGTCTTTATGTTGAGCTATGCTGGACCCTCTAAACTCTAACCTGAAGGAGCTTTGCAAAAGTATGGGTCCTAGTCTAGATCTGAACTTTGCTCTTACGCATATAATAGTACATAAAATAGCTCGTCAGAGATGCAATGAAGGGAGCAAGCATGTGGATAAAAAAAATGCCTGGCAGTCCCAGACTGCTGTCTAGACRGATGCAACCCAAGTTGAAGGCTGTGGGGAATTGCAGCATACACGCAGCACCGAGGGCAGCTTTTTCCACTGCAGCCTCCCCTTCCACAGAGCTATTGGSAGAAACGAGCCCATTCCCAATGTTATCGCCTCCTGGCTTGGCAGCACTCACGGCAAGGACAATACGTGTCTGGCTGGTGCGTGGTGTGTGTTCGGCTCACCTGGGGCCTTTCTTAGCTAATAATGAATTAAATAATGAATTACAATAATGAATTAAAAAAAAAAGAAAAAAAAAARAAAGAAAAGCTGTCAGCAGATGGGGATCAGCCTGCCAGGTAAGTTTACATTCCCAAAGCTGGAGTTTTCGGTTACCCAGACAAAAGCGTGCGTGGTGTTTCCTGCTCAACAACAGAGGGTTGTTTTTTGTTCTGCCTCTGTAGTGTTGATGCAAATGCAGCTGTCACTGCAGCCTTATCTCTGGATCCGCGGGGCTGCTGCACCTGGGCTGCACTTGGGCTGCGAGAGCCTAATTTGCCACACTCGTGGAAAGATGGATTTTAGCACCCGTTCCCTTGGGAATGAAGGAGGTCCCTGCCTACCCTGGGGTTTGACAAAACTAAAATCCACGCGTGTTCTCCTGTGCTGTACTTGAAGTCTTGGGCTTGTTCGTGCTATGCTGGGCTGCAGACTGAATTTTAAAGATGAGCCTTTTGCAGATGAGACGCAGTGAGAAAGTGTCTTCCAAGACACATGTCATTTTAGCTGTGTTCTTCTGCAAGTGCAGGGCTGTCCTGCAGCCCACCTCTGTAGAGCCGTCCATCCCTTCCAYCGCAGAAGGCTCAGCCCTGCTGCCTCTGCTGCTGGAATCGCTATGGTCTTTGCAGTGTCTTGCTTACCTTGGCTCACCGCTAAATGTACATATAGCTTTGGTTTGCCTAACCTACATGAGCTCTGTGGCCAACGCTTGACAGGCATATGCCTGGACATTTTGCTCTATGGATGTCCATCAGGTTTCCTAGATTCACATAGGGCTTTTGGTGCCTCTCTGGGCATGTGTACTCTCAAAAAAMTGGTGGAATTAGATCTTCAGCTAAGGGAATAAAAGTTCATCTTTAGAAGATTGTCTAGTAACTTCTTCTATCCAGGACAGCTTGTCCATCAATGAAGATACAACTCCAAGCAAATCAAGTTAGCTGTAGGGAGGATAGCCTGGGTAAYGCAGAACATATGTGAGCTAGGCTTTAAGAGCATTCTGTATTGCCACACCTACCTTTGAAAAATAAGGCTGTAATATATGAGGAAGTGATGAACCAGGAGGCATGTGCTGTGTGCCCTGCTCAATGCACAGGGACCCTGCTTGGTCTTGCTTAGATGCAGCCAAAAGGGAAGGACTAAGCCATGGGGAACCCCAAGAAGAAGGCTTCACTCTTCCAGGCGCTCTCAGGGTATCAAACGTKGTGATTTTTGTCTACTGCAAGGGAAAGCAGGTATATTCCTATGCATAATTTCCTGATTTATTGCCAAAGGGTGGAAGTTTATACTTAAGATTCACAACAGCTGTTTAAAGTGCCTGTG